ATATTTTAAATGCAGACCAAGCTGTCTAGCAAAAGTTACAGTTACATGGGTTGGGATAAACCATATAACACTGATTTGGCGTGCTTACAACAGGGAGCTTTGATTTTTATGTTTACATTTTTTTTTCCCAAAGAATAAAAACTGTTGCTGAGAGTTAAATCTTCATATCTGAGGACCTCTAGAAATAGATTATCTGCACATGAGCTACCAGGTCTGTAGACCTTCAATGGCACTTACTAGGTGGCCACCCGCACCATACTAGACTTTTTCTATATACTTTTATATTTTATGGAGGATACACCAGCAGGAGTTGGAAGACCCCTGTTGTAGCAGGAGTGAGACTCCAAGATATGCAAAAACTGAACTGAGAAATGTGGTGGCAAAATTTTACTGCTGCACTCCCCACAATCTATACAGAAGCCGTGGGTGGCACCATACCCTACCTACAGGATTACCAGGACATCAATTTAAGGTTATAACAGGAGAGTATGTGCTGGGACTTTACAACTCCTTTAAAGCACATCTGCCAAACAGATGTAAGATGCTAAGTAAATTGGTGGGGGTGGAGAGGAGACCTGTAAGTAAAAGTGAAACTGCAGCAAAGAAAGGTTAGTTATTTGTCAGCTGTGTAAATTTCTACAAAGCATGAACACAAATACACATTCTGGCAGGTCCAACCGATCATTTATAAGTATTTTATTTGTGTATTTAGATGTTTTCCTGGAGTTTAGGTCCTGATGTTTCATAAATGACAATGTCAACGTAATCATGATAATTATTTCTTTGTACGTGGAAAAATATCTGTTCTGCCGACTTTCTTGTCTTTCTGAATGTCATCTAATAGCACATCACGGGTTTTAAGCTCTCAAAACCACTTGAGTTGAAAGGCAGACTAAACAATTACAATATCAAGATGTCTAAGAAAATGAAAATGACTGTAGAGGAAGAAAAAATAAAGTTCATATGTTCACTGTTTGAACTTCCAGGTCTATGTATTGCCAAAGTTGAGTGATTGGGTTGACGTGGGATAGTACATTGTGCATTCTATACTCTGAATACCTGATATACTGTATATTGGCACCTCTGTATTGTTGTAACCTTCTTTTGTTCCTTTCAGCTTCTACTGGCAGATCCATAAGATATCAGAGCAGAGTTTCTTACAACTGAAAAAAGACACAAATATTTAGTAAATAACAGAGAGTCTTCTGTCTCTGTGCAAGTTTCAGCATGCCTTCTATATACAGAAGGAACGTATTAGACTGTCTGCTTTCAGACGTTTCAAACATTTTTAATATTATGAATGTTGTTAACCTTGTTGTGTTACACACAATACTTTACAACGGAAAACATGTAAAGTTAAGAATCCAGAAAAAAATTGGATATGAGCCATGAGAGCTCTGTATATATAATGGTTGGCGGACGCTTAAAGTGATATTGAAGTCAAAGGGTTTTAAGCTATTTCAAATGCTGATTAAATCACTTATAATAAAGGCTGCTTCTAGATGTTTAGAAGTTCTAGTATCCTGCAGAATCATCTGGTCTCCTTTCCCGTGCAGAGCCCTATGAAGCCACCCTTGTATGTAATAGTAATCTGTGTGTGCCTCTACCACCACACAGGCACAGCAGGGCAAGCCAGTCCTTTGCTCCTTTCTCTCCTCTCCTCCCTCTTCCTTCATCCCTTCTTTCTTCTGCAAGTAAGTAGATGAATAGCTGCTGGAGACTGCTCTGGAGATCCTGTCAGAAACAGGACTTCCTGTTGCAAGTTGACGATGCTAAGCAACTGCCTCACATTTAGCAGCATTGTTGCCAGCCTGCCATTTGCACTCCTTCAGCTGGCCTTTAAGCTGTTTTTTGGAGAGGCACATCTAATGGCCAACTGATGATGCTTCTTCGGCAGGCTGACAAGCAGGACCGTCCCAAAAAATGAGGCAGCTTGTTTAGGCAGTATCTCTTAGCGCCATGTGTGTGTGTGTAGGGGGGGCAGCAGGCACAGTGGCATGCTTGTGGCCCTCCCACCTGGGATGCTCTGGCCGGCATTCTGCTCAGCTGCTGGCAAAAAGGGACGCTGGTTAGAGACAGTTAATGTGCGCAATCGCCACTGTGCGAGCCCCCCCGGCTAGCATGTAAGACCCCCACATCATCCCCCCCACCTCAGGCAGCATATAGGCTAGGTATGCCCCTGCTGACAACACTGCTGCTAATTGCTAGACAGTGCAACAGGAAGTGCCTTTACTGGCAGGGTCTACAGGTAGGAAACTTTGCAGCAGGTTCACAAAATACATTTTGCTTAGTATAACCATATACAGTGAAGCATGATGCCAAACATACTGACTATAGATCTACGGTGTACATACACTTAGACAAATAAGTTATTAGGTACATAAACCTCCAATGCAGACTGGACCCAAATCTAATTGCCCTGGTCTGCTTTGCCTAGGTAAGAAAGGACAAGTTGACCTACTGACAGTTGGGCCCAATCTACAGCTGAGGTCTGTATACCTGTTGACTAATTTGGGGGATGGGGCCCGTTTTGAAGAACTTTATTTGGAGATACCAATACCCATTACTGCACATAGGTCTTCATATTATAGCCTATAGACTGAAAAATGGGCACCCTGCTTTAAGATATAATTTAGTAACAGAGTGTCCCCAGACTGAAGGTGGGGGCTGTATATCATTCTGACAATTACTTGGCTGCCACCTGATTGTATTTAATACACAACCTTATATTTTGTTATTACAAGTGATAGAAATTTTATAAACATCGATCATACTTCATTACAAGGCATCAAATAATCTGACACTATATAATCTTGATATCATAACATTTTATATTTCTATAAGATTGTAGATAATACATGTTTAAACAAGACAATGGATGCATCTCTTTAATGTATTCGTCCCCCCAGCACATTAGCATTCCTGGTTAAACCAAGTTGCCCCCAAGACTATTTGAACATGCAAACTGAAGTATCGCCCGTGGGCTGATACCTGAAGATTAAGTGGAATTGATTTTAATGCAAGAGCATTCTGAAAAAAGTGTATCATTGTATCTCTAAGTGCCTATGTGGCACATTCCCCAGTCTAAAGACTGTAAAGAAATGCTGAAATATTTTGCCACAGAGGGAGGTCCCTACATGACATGATGAAACCTAATCTTAGAAAGGAATTTACAGTATTTCAAATCAAATCTATAAAAATGAATGATATGGAAAAATGGCAAATATTTGAATGTGTGTATTTTAATGTAATGCTTATATTTAGTTGTTGTTAACCTAAAGTCCAATTAAACATTAAATTTACACTAAGATGTTCAAAGATTTACAGTTTGTTTTCTTTGGAAATCAGACACAACCTGTGTAGAAAAGCATGTCCCCAGCCATCATGCTGCAGCTTGCTCTTTGTGTGGAAGCTGTGATCCCTCTGCAGAGGTCCCCTGCTGAATCAGACCTATAGCATTGCAATCAGTGAAGCTCTTGCTCCCTGCTCATCGGAGAAGTCAGGCTTTGACTCAGCAGGGGGCATGTCAGACTTCTGCAAAGAGACCACTGCTTCCACACAGAGAGCATGCTGGCAGGGTACAGGCTTTGCCACTCATACTGTGTCTGCTGTCTAAAAATAATGAACTGAATGATTTTGTACACCTTTTGTGCCTGAAATGTAATTCATAATTAATTTAAACTGAATCCTCAGCTGGACCTTAACTCCCATGGAAAATAAAGTACCACCCCTCTAACTCATAGCACCTGTCTAGGCTTAGACATAGATCTCTATGACTAAGCCTTGAGAGGTGAAACGCCTTAGTGGGGTAGTGCTTAGATGGAGACTGCAACATGGAATTGCATGGATCAAATAAAGAGTGTTGAACTGGAGATGCAATCATTTGTAGTTCTTTTTGAGTTAGTTGATATTTAATTCACGTAGCTGAAAGTTTGATATAATACGTTATTTAGACTAAAAGTGGTTGGCCAGAAGCTGCCTGTCATGTTTTCAGTGGGATCTTTGGACAGGAAGACATTGTGACAAAATATCTTTCGCCAAGAAAAATACTTGATTACCAATAGCTGTTATATGTTCCAGAAACATTTCATATATGTATACAAACATTATCCAGTGTTCTTTATAAAAAGAAAATGCAATTTCATTCATATTAGCAAATTCATTGATGGATAAAAGTAAGCCAGTTAATCCCAGCTTCAATCCTGCAAAAATCATTTTAAGGACTGCAATATGCTAAGGTGATAGAATGCGAGTTGTATTCTTCTTTTCATCATTGATAACCCAGCTTCAGCCAAGCCTATGTTAAACTGCAGTAAAAGCTGAACTTTCAGTCTTGACAGTTGTGCAGGCTTCTTTCCGGTATTTTCTTTCTTATTTGAATATCTTTATTTATATTGACACTAAATATGATAGTTAACCACAGGACACAGACTTGGTAGACCACTCTATGGATTAAAAGCTATGGGAAATGTTGTAGTTTGCAGCCACAGCCTGTTGTTGACTAAGGTAGGAGGTATATCTTGGTCTGTTAGGAGTATATGCAAATCAGCATGATTATAGAAAGTGCCTGTGCATGGCAGTTGCTTATGACATACAGTCCTTAAGCAAACTAAAACTCATTTAATTACATGATTTTCAGAAGTTTTATAATTATTTAATATTTTGGACAATTTGAGGAAATATTCTGTGCTCTCTTCTGCTGTCTTAGGTTGGAATGTGTACAAAGCAATTTGTGGTCAATAATTGTGTAAAGTGCTTGCCTCTCCAAAGAAAAGCCCCAAGGCATTTGAACTTGTAGTAAGCCACCCATGCTGTCCCTACACAGTCAGTCTGAGTTATAGTAAGAGAAATGAACAATACATACAGCTGACACTAATGTGATAGACTAATAGATTGCTGTAAATATGTGTTGGTTAAGTGTTGGGACACTGGTAAAAATGAATATTTCATATTGTGTATGCTTGCTTTACAACTGGTGTTTGTTTAATTCTAGGTCCACCATGTTTCCCCGGATATTATGGTTGTTGTTCCTATTCGATATCCAGACATATATGGCACAGAATTACAATGGAAGATATAAGTCTCGTGCTTTAACATCAAGTACATCAGAGAAGGCTCCAAGCGCCAGTGATCAAGGTGAAACCCTTAATCTAGTTGTCCATAAACAATATTTTACATACCATGTAACATGCTCCCACCGCTTGTAGAAGGTTCTCAATAATGTGAAAATAAACAACAGGTAAAGAATAAGTCAATTTTACAGATCTACCATCAGGAATTCAGTCACGTATCTAAATTACTTTGAAGGACAACTCTAGTCAATTTACCACAATACTTGTCCCTCCTTTGCTGTGACAGCAGGACAAGAACTGAGGGAGAAGTTAATAATAATAACCTGACAGAGGACCACATGTGGTCCTTTGGTACATGTTGTAAAGCCTTTGGTCCTCAGCAGTCTGGAGTGGGAACACTAATTTGAAGGGCAATAAAAGTAGCAGTGATCTCTAGTACTACTACTCCTACCACTACTACTCCTACTTGCTTCATGTAACATGTCCCCAGTCTGTCAAAGTCTTCTGCAGCATGTCTCTAGGCTCCATCCACATCTGTAGCATGTTCATGGTTGCTGACCATCATTTGCTCTAGTATGTCTGCAGTCTATGACAGTCCTCTTTAGCATGTGCAGCCCTTTGGTGATGTCAGGGGAAACAGTTGAGGCCCCCATACGTTATTAGTTGACATCCAGAGTTGTAAGCCTTCCCCATTTTAGTGAAATAAATTTGATATGTGATAGTATGTGTCCCCACTTAAGATATTTCTGATCACTTCTGGTTGTGACAGAAAGTAAAGGGAAATCTCCAAAATGAGGACACACTGCAATAAAAACCTATAGCACAGACAGCAAAACAGTACTAAAAAGACAATATTTATTTATTAATCCTTTAAAATACACTCACAAATAAAAACCTATACCAATGTTTGTTATACACTATATTTCTTCAATAAGCCAGATACATCGTAAAATTTGTAAATATTAAATGATTTCGCATTCAAATGGTCCACAAACCCATACAATTCCTACATAAAAATGGAACTTCTCCATTATATAAATTGTAATTCACAAAAAAAGAGATTAAAAGTGTCTTTTGTACTGGCATTGAATGGAAAATGTATTCAGATAAAATAGTAGAGATGTGTATTTGGATTCGGACGAACTTGCTGAATCACAAAATTCCGTTGATTCATCGGTTCGTCCAAATCCAAAACAACAAATTGATATATATGTCCAAATATACAAAAAAGTATATTCAGGCATATAGTTACTAATTTTTCATGGGCACCAACATCTTGCTGTGTCCTAGATGGCGGCACCCATACATATGTATGACGTTGCCTGACCCCAGCACCATGTGACGTAATGCGCCCCGCCACCAAGATGGCCAATATGTTCTGTTTTTTAAATGTACACTTTCAGATTTGGAGGTTCATTGCCTCCGAATCAGACACAGCACAATAATTAGTTTCATCAAACGAAACAAATGAAAATGTTTTTCCCTTTTCCTTAATTTAGTTCGAAACTAATTTTTATGTCCTGTGCATGTCTATAAAATAGAATTGTACAATAGACACGTAACCCCGCAAAAAATTAGATTTCTTTCATTTTGTAAGGATTCAGATTTTTATTTTCGATTCGGTTCTTCATTCGGATTTTGCATCTGTCCAAATTTTCGTTTCGGAATGATCCACAAAAAGAAAGTCATATGATTGTGCCTTTAATGCAATCCCCAACAGCCCAAAAAAATCTGATTGGCCAGAAAACAGTCACATGTCCAATTTAGTTTTGTTTTGAACAGGTACACTTGGATTAGTTTGCATGCGGACTTGTTCAAATTTGGAAATTTTTATGCATCCAAATGCATAAAAATTCATCCAAATAAAGTAATTTGTATGAATATTCATTCGGAACGAAATTAAATTTACATATCTATTGTGCAATGATGTATCTGGTTGACTGGTCATGCCTTATTGAAGAGCTATGCCCTGTAATTCATAAAGAATGTTGTAGATACTCATTAGAAAATCTTTCTCCCGTTCCTGCAACAAATTTGCGACAGATTCTTGTATATGTCGGTATGGTATATACAAATCCGTAGCAGGCTTGTCTCAGAAAAGACTCTGTGACACAATACTTACACAATTGACACAATTTATTTACTCCAACATGGAAGATCTCTTATCTACCTATTCTTTTCTTATCACCGATATGGCGGTATTTAATAATGAATTTGTCGCAGCCATAGCAGCAAAATTGAAAATAAATAACATGAATTTGTTACATACACACAACAAGGAAACTGTTGCACGGCTTTCATGACATTCTACTACGTCAATGCTTTATTGACTTGCCCCCATAGTGTATTGAACATTGGTATAGGTTTATATTTGTATGTGTATTTTTAAGGATTACTAAATAAACATTTGCTCTTTTAGTATTGTTTTGCTGTCTATGCTATTGCGACTGACAAACCTTTGTATTCATCTTCTATTTTTGCATATCACAACGGGGTCAGTCTCTAAGAATGATAAATATTTTCTTATTTTGTAGCATATTTATTTGTTGTATTCCCACACTCTTATCTTCATATATTTCTATTCTAATAATAGAAACCTGACAGTTGAGGCTGGAGTTGACATTGAAAGGCTTTGCAGAATATCCTTTATAAACCCTTGTATTCGGGTTTCTACATATGAGTTCTAAAAGGAAGTGCTTGATACTCATTTCCAAAACCCCAGCGCTGACTATAATAGAAGAGTATTGAGCTGTTGCATACTGTATGTGCATTCAGCAAAGCACTCGCTTCACATTGAGCTGCACGTAGGTGATCATTTGCTGCAGTGTCAGTGCAGAGATTAGGTAGCCCTACATTTACTCAGTGACTTTAAAGGCTAAGTCCAGCTTTGTGACCATGTGTCCTGTTATACCTGTATTTGGGCTGTAACATAAAGCATGGTCATATTTCCACTCCCTCACCCATAAACCCCCCCCAGCATCCTGTATATTTTCTAATGTGGTGCAGCTGTGTGGGTACAGCCTGCACAGCCATGTCATCCATTCTCAAAGCCATTCAAAGAAAAGAGACAAGTAGATACAGTGGTGTAACCAGTGCTGTACCTCTAATGAGGCTGCCTAAGACGGCATCCCATTAGGGGGTGGCGGGTTGTTGGGG